AGCGGACCAACCTCTTGGCCGCTTCCAGCTGCTCATGACTGGGGCGTGAAACCACACTGGCAAGCCTGGATGTTGCAAAGGCAATGTCAGGCCGCGTGTGGTTAGCCGCATAGTTGAGCGCCCCAACCATGGAATGAAACAGCTTCCTGTCACTCTCACCCACCACCTCCTCATCAGCACAGGGCTCCACAGTGAACCCCGAAGGTAGTGGGGTGGCTGGCTTTCCTCCATCTTGCAGCCCATACTTCTCAGCCAGCCCCTCACAATACTTCCTCTGGTGCAACCTCAACACTCCCTTGTCAAGGTCCCTCTCCACATGCATCCCCAAATAGTACTTCACATCTCCCATCTTGGAGCACTTAAACTGCATCTCCAGCATTTCCTCCACACGCTCAATCATTGCAGACGACTCGGAGAAGAGCAGGATGTCGTCCACATACACCAGGAGCATAAGGAACTGCTCCTTCTCTTGCAACAGGAACAAGCTGTGATCGCACTCACTCTTCTTGAACCCCCCAGCCAGCAGCGTCTCCTCTAGCTTGTGGTACCATGCACGAGGAGCCTGCTTCAGGCCATAGATGGTCTTCTTCAGCCTGCACACCCTGCCGCTCCCATCATCCAAACCCTCAGGCTGTAACATGTACAGCTTCTCAGAATGATCCCATTGAGGAAGGCGGCGGTAATGTCCATCTGCTTCACCCGCAGTGTTGTGCCTTTCCCCACAGGAGCATAGAGCTCATTAAAGTCCTTTCCCTTTGTCTGCTGAAACCCCTTAGCCACAAGCCTTGACTTGTAGCGGGTCAGCTCCCCATCAGGTCCGTACTTATGCCTGAAGATCAGCTTCGAAGAGATTGCCTTCTTCCCGGGAGGCAGCTCACACAACTCCCACGTCTCATTCTCCAGTAGAGAGTCATACTCCTCCTTCACACTCTGCTTCCACTTTTCAGCATCGGGCCCACTCAATGCCTCGGCCAGAGTCTTGGGCTCAGGGACGGCTGCCCAATAGCAGTGCGCTATCTCCTCCTCATCACACTGCTCAGCCACACTCCCAGCCCGTACCACCTTTGGCTTTCCAAAGCTAGGATAGGTCAGCCTGTTAGGAGGGCGCACATCCCTCCTAGGACGGTCATTCGGACGTTGGTCACGTGGTGGAGCATCCTGCTGCTGCTGCTGCTGCTGCTGCTGCTGCTGCTGCTGCTCCTCCACCTCAGGTTCTCCCCCATCCTCAGTCACCCCAGATATCTCCTCCTCTGAGACAGTGACCTGCACTTGCCTCGAAGGCCGCTGCACCTCATTAGCCTCAATGATCAGCGGTGTAGTGGGAAGCTTCTGCTGCTGCTGCTTCCACTCCTTGTAGTACAGTGACTCAAGGAACTTCACATCCCTCGAAACAGTCAGCTTCTGGCTGGTCAAGTCCAACACCAACCAGCCCTTGTGATCCTTGGCAATCCCCAAGTGCACACCCCATCTCCCAGAAGCTTCCAGCTTTCCCCTCTTCTCCTTCGGCACATGAAACACCACCATGCAGCCGTAGGCTCTCAGCATGTTGACTGCTGGCGCACTCCCATACCACTTGGTGTAGGGGACCCACTGCTTGTCCCCCACAGTCGCCAGCACCCGGTTCTTCACAAGGGCAACCTGCCGCAGTGCAGTCACCCAAAACGGATCCGGCAGCCCTGCATGCCCAAGGAGAGTGCGAGCACCTTCCTGCAGGGTCCGGTTGAACCGCTCAGCCACGCCGTTCTGCTGAGGGTTGTACGGCACCGTGAGCTGATGCTGGATCCCCTTCTTCTTCAGCACTGCCTCAAAATCAGCGCCAATGAATTCTCCCCCGTTGTCAGTGCGGATCACCTTCACTTTGTGTCCGCTCTCCCTTTGAGCTCTCGGCATCCACTCCTTAAGAACAGCCGCTGCCACCTCCCCCTTAGTCTTGAGAGGGTAGACCCACACCGCACGCGTGTGGTCATCCACAATGGTCAGGAAGTAGCGGCTGCCCGAGAGAGAAAGGACCCTCGTGGGGCCCACCACATCCATGTGCACAAGCGCAAGTGGAGCCTTGGTTGGTCCTGTGCTGCTGCTGAAGGGAAACTTTGTGAATTTGGTCTCAAGGCATGTAGGGCAGCTCCCAATCTCCTTCGCTGCCCCCTTCACCTCCAACCCCTTCAAGCTCCCATCCTTAACCAACTTCTGCAGCATAGGAAAATTCACATGGCATAGCCTTTCATGCCATGTCTCCCAATCGGCCTCACCACTCCCAGGCGAAGCCTTTGCCCATGCAGCTGTCGCATCCACACCAGCAAGCACCTCACCATGTGGCTGCTGTGGTTGCTGCACCTTCTTGACTGCATCCAGGGCCCCAACCGTTGGTGCAGTCTCCTCTCCTCCCGCAGTTGCCTTTGCCGTTGCTGCTGCCGCTGCCGTTGCTGGAGGTTTCCCACTCCAAGGGATGATGGGCAGCTGCCACAGGTCCTTGATGCAGCTGTTCTTCTCCTCCAGATCCCACAACAACAGCTTCCCAAGCTTTGCACGGCAGCTGGTTGGGCCGAAGGTCACTTTGGCCTTGCTCTTCTGCAGCCGGCGCACAGAAAGAAGGTTAGCGGACAAACCTTCAACCAACAGCACATTCCCCAGCCCCACAAGCCCCCCATTAGCTCCCATTACCTTGGCATTCCCCACACCAATCACAGGGAGCAAAACACCTGAAGCGGCAACCACAAACTTGATCTTCCCGGGGGGTTTTACCTCATCAAGCAAATCTGCCCTCGGTGTCATGTGACTTGTGCAACCTGAATCGATCACCCAGTGAGTGAGGGGATGCATCACAACCTTCCCAACTGAACCCACATCACCCCCATTCCCTTTCACATCCTCAACCACGAGGAACATGCCAGGGTCGGCCTTTCCTTGTGTACCATCACCTTGTGCACCTGAACCTTGCACAGCACCACCTCGTGCACGTTCACCACTTGGCGGCTTCATGCCCGGAGGCGCCCATCCCTCAGGCCGGCTGAAACACTTGAACCACTGATGTCCAGCCTTCTTGCAGTACCAGCAGTCACCCTCCATTCGAGTGCTCCCCCTGCCACCAGAGCTCCCATGCCCCTCGTTGTAGTCACCTCGGCCTCTCCCTCTGCCAAAGCTCCTCCCACGGCCTCGGCCTCTCCCACCCCCTCTTCCTCTGCTGCCTCCTGCAGCTCCATACCCCTCAGCAGTTTTGTTGGCAGCACCACCTCCGGTGTGGCGCCTGCGGAAGTCCTCCTGCAGAATCTGCTGCCGTAGCCACTCAGGTGTCCACTGGTCCTGCTGAGAGTTGAGGGTGGGGATCAGGTTGTCCCATGCGTTGTCGAGCACCGAGATGATCTTGGTGCACTGCTGCATCTGCGACACATTGCTGCCCGCCGCTGCCATCCTCGCATAGGTGTCCTTGATCTTGTCAAGGACCGGCTTCACATCATCACCCGGTCGCATGGAGAGGGCAGCCAGCTCCTTCTCCAACACAATCACCATTGGCAGCGTGTTAGGCTGAATCACATCCCGAAGTAGCTTCCACGCCTTCGGTCCCGAGTCATCGAGCTCCACCAAATCTTTGATGTGCTGGAACATGTCGTTGTTGACCGACTGGAGGATGAGGTCGTACAGCACCGCGCTCTTCTCAATCCAATGATCGCGGGCGTCGCCTTCCTCCGGCATCTTCTCTTCTCCCATCGCAAGTTTCAGCAGCTTGTAGCGCTTAAACGCACTCCGCATCCGCCCGCTCTATTCCTCATAGTTGGAGCCATCCAATGCCTCGATCTTGGATGGTGGCGGTTCATTCCTCTTCTCAGCTGCATCTCCACTCCCTTGACTCATTTCCTCTGCTCCCAATCACAGGTTTCAGCTCCCCCCTTTGCTGTCCACACCGAAGATCCACAATATTTTCACAAGTGTCGGCGCCAACGAAATTTCGGCAGAGTTTCCCCTTAGCGGAAGTCGCATCCAACCTCCAGAACTCCACTTAGGCACGCCCACAGGCCATAGTGGGTCTAGGAGGGTCTTCACACTTTGGTAGACTCCCCACAAAGTCCTTAATCAGCTCTGATACCACTTGTTAGAAACCAAGGACGGAGTCTATGAAGATTAGGGGACGAAATATCTCAAAATCTTCAACTATAATTCTGGACAGAAACGTCGTCGTCACGAGAAACGTTGTCGACGAAAATCGCACTGTTAGAATTTCCTCAAACTCGAGTATGTTGTAGCCCTTTACCGTGGCTATCCTTCCCAATTTGAATCGTATCAAAATATGGGGTATAACTCGAGTTATGAATTTCGGCGCACTAGGGGGTATGCTGCCATAGAAACTTAACTCAATCACAATTTACTCACAAGTTCATACAAGAAAGTAAGAGTAACAATAAACCAGGTAGGAGGGAAGAGGAGGACGAGAGGGAAGGTCCCCAATGAGTCCCCAACCAAGGAAACCCCATAGTCACACCAAATCCCTTCCCTATAGGCACCCCAACTTTGACCTTTGTCACTTTCCCAACCTCCACAATCCACCTCACCCCAACTTGGCCACACTTGCCAACCTGGTTTGGGTTTTCCCAACCACATGGCAGCAACTACAGTAGAAGTGACGAATTTCCCAACCCTCAAATGTCTATACCCCTTATGGAGTCAACCCCACAACTTCCCATAGTCGCCACAACCAAATATCAAAAGCATACGAACTTCAAATGTTCGTAACTTTCGTGTTCGTGCTCCGATTGAAGCGATCCTTGGTTCGTCGGAATGCTCTCGAGCAGAGGAGTCACTTCAGATATCTGCTCAAGCCAAATAACATTCACACACACTCAGAAAATCCAAACCACACCAAATACAAATTCTTGCACACGCTCACACCACGCATGCAACGCACGAACATATGATGGGAGGCAGACAGACGTGAATGCAAATGATAGCATCACATAACATGGATAAGCCCCTAGGCGGGTGGGAGTGGATGGAAGCGTTTCTGGGGAATGGGGGACAGGGTGAAGTGCTACGACCCTGCCACGCTGCAGTATCTGGGGTTCTCTCCCGCACTAAAGGCATCTGACGTGAGTCGGGGACAGGACAGGGTGGGTAAGCCCCTGTTTGGGTGGGAGTGGATGGAAGGGTGGGTGGGGGAATGGGCGGCAGAGTGCAGTGCTACGACCCTGCCACTCTGCAGTACCTGGGGTTCTCGCCCGCTCTGAAAGCGTCCGATGTGAGTCAGGGACAGGACAGGGTGGGTAAGCCCCTGTTTGGGTGGGAGTGGATGGAAGCGTGGGGGGGGGGGAAATGGGGGCGACAGAGTGCAGTGCTACGACCCTGCCACACTGCCGAGTGCAGAGTTTACCCACTCATGCTCTACCTCAACGCAACCCTCAGTACCCCTTGTATCCACTTCAGGTGAAGGGGCATGTGCGAGGGCACGGCAGGCGCAGCAGCAGTGGCAGCACAGCAGCTTCGAGCAGAGGAGGCAGTTTTTCCACTCATGGTTGATTGATCTCAGATCAACCCTTCCTCTCGAACATCCCGTCCCATCCTTTTCAGGTGAAGGAGCATGTCGCCAGGGCGCGGCAGGCGCAGCAGCAGTGGCAGCACAGCAGCTTCGAGCAGAGGAGGCAGTTCCTGAGGGTGCTGATGCGATACGTGGTGGAGAATCAGGACCTCATCTGCAGGTGAGGGTTACTTCATGGCTTCGTTGGTGCGTGTAACAGGGTTACCAGCAATTCCAGCAGCAGCAGCAGCAGCAGCAGCAGCAGCGGCAGCAGCAGCAGCAGCGGCAGCAGCAGCAGCAGCGGCAGCAGCAGCAGCAGCAGCAGCAGCAGCAGCAGCAGCAGCAGCAGCAGCAGCAGCAGCAGCAGCAGCAGCAGCAGCATTGTAGGCTCATAACAGCCTGTTCCTGAGGGTGCTGATGCGATACGTGGTGGAGAACCAGAGCCTCATCTGCAGGTGTGGGGTTGACGTGCTGTTGCTGCTCTGTGTAACAAGGTTACCAGCTGTAGCAGAAGCAGTAGTAGCAACAGCAGCCGCCGCCACCTGCATAAGAGCAGCTTTGAGCAGAGGAGGGAGGCAGTTCCTGAGAGTGCTGATGCGATACGTTGTGGAGAACCAGAACCTCATCTGCAGGTGAGCGAGTCTGATCAGTCCTTACCCAGGTAACCAGGTTACCACCCTCTGTTCCTGAGAGTGCTGATGCGATACGTGGTGGAGAACCAGGACCTGATCTGCAGGTGAGTGGTTGATGCGCTGTTGATGGTCTATGTAACAAGGTTACCAGCTGTAGCAGCAGCAGCAGCTGCTGCTGCTGCCACCCTCAGTTCCTGAGGGTGCTGATGCGATGCGTGGCGGAGAACCAGAGCCTCATCTGCAGGTGAGTGAGAGTAACCGTGCGCCCTTTTTATCCCATGTAACGTGGTTACCAGCGATAGTGCAGCCGTGGCTCTCGGTGGCAGGTATTCATTGTGGTAACCAACCAGGACCGCAACCGCAGATGAGTGAGAGTTACTGTGCGCCCTTTTTATCCCATGTAACGTGGTTACCAGCAGTAGTGCAGCAGTGGCTCTCGGTGGCAGGTATACATTGTGGTAACCAACCAGGACCGCAACTGCAGATACTGTGGGTTACTCAAGCTACGTCTGTCGTTTCGTCTGGTGATGTGATCACATGCTGTTTCTTGAGGTGTGGTGATTGCTTGTTGTCAATCTCACATACTCCTACTGCCGTTGCCCACCTACCATTGCCCACCTACCATTGCCCACCTCCCATTGCCCTTTTCCAGAATATCAGCCCGAGAGTCAGGCAAGGTGCTGGTGGATGCTGTCTCTCTACTGCTGAATCAGTTCTCTCTCATTGCCTCCCTCTCATCTCCCACTGCTTGGTCTCTCCTCCCTGCCCATCTTATTGTTCTCTCCCGGGTATCAGCCCGAGAGTCAGGCAAGGTGCTGGTGGATGCTGTCTCTCTACTGCTGAATCGGTCCTCTCTCATTGCCTCCCTCTCATCTCCCACTGCTTGTCTCTCCTCCCTGCCCACCTCATTCTCTCCAGAGTATCAGCGCGTGAGTCAGGCAAGGTGCTGGTGGATGCTGGTGGTGCTACTGCTGTGTCTGTTCTCCCTGCCATTCTCTCATGTCCCACTGCTTGGTCTCTCACCATGCCCACACCCCCAGAGTATCGGCGCGAGAGTCAGGCAAGGTGCTGGTGGATGCTGGTGGTGCTACTGCCGAGTCTGTTCTCCCTGCCATTCTCTCATGTCCCACTGCTTGGTCTCTCACCATGCCCACACCCCCAGAGTATCGGCGCGTGAGTCAGGCAAGGTGCTGGTGGATGCGGGGTTTGGGGAGATCCTGACGACATGTGAGAAGATAGCGTGGCTGCTGAGTGAAGGGGAGAGGTGGCTCAAGCCCGAATACAGGTGAGTCCGAGTGACGTGAATCAATGTGAGTCAATGCTTTAGTCAATGCGAGTCAACGCAATTCAATGCGACTCCGGCAAGGTGGTGGTGGATGCAGGGTTTGGTGAGATCCTGACGACATGTGAGAAGATAGCGTGGCTGCTGAGTGAAGGAGAGAAGTATCTGAAACCCGAGTACAGGTCAGTCAACGTCAGTCAACGCGAGTCAATGTGAGTCAGGCAAGGTGCTGGTGGATGCGGGGTTTGGTGAGATCCTGACGACGTGTGAGAAGATAGCGTGGCTGCTGAGTGAAGGAGAGAGATGGCTCAAGCCCGAGTACAGGTCAGTCAATGCGAGTCAATGCGAGTCAACGCAGTAGTCAATGCAGTCAATGTGAGTGAATGTGAGTCGGGCCAGGTACTGGTGGGTGGATGCTTGCTTAAGTGAGAGTCCGATGCCCTCCTTCCTCTCTCGCCCGTTCTTTGTTTTCCGTTTTCCTTTTACCCCCCTGTCATATTTTCCTCCGCTCCGGTGCATGTCTCAGGTCTGTGGGTCGAACCATGCTGCACAAAGTCGCTCGGGTGGAGTTTGAACCGGCAGGGGTGATTGGAGCCATAGTGCCGTGGAACTACCCCTTCCACTCGTTCCTCTCTCCTTACCCTTCTCTCCCCCCAATCCCCCTGAACCCCACTCCATCCTCTGTTCAGGTCTGTGGGTCGAACCATGCTGCACAAGGTGGCTCGGGTGGAGTTTGAGCCAGCAGGGGTGATCGGAGCCATAGTGCCGTGGAACTACCCCTTTCACAACGTACTCAACCCCGTTCTGTCTGCTGTGTTTGCTGGCAATGCTGCCGTCATCAAGGTGAGACAGAGTGAGGGACAGAGAGTCAAGACCGACAGGGACAGAGGGAGAGAGGGAGACATAGGAGCCCCTAGGTGCAGGGGTGATTGGAGCCATAGTGCCGTGGAACTACCCCTTTCACAACGTGCTCAACCCCGTACTGTCTGCAGTCTTTGCTGGCAATGCTGCTGTTATCAAGGTGAGACGGAGTGAGGGATAGACAGGGACAGGGACAGAGGGATAGGAAAACAGAGAGACAGAGAGACAGAGGGATAAAAGGGGCGCCATAGTGCCGTGGAACTACCCCTTCCACAACGTGCTCAACCCCGTGCTGTCTGCTGTATTTGCCGGGAATGCTGCTGTCATCAAGGTGAGACAGAGTGAGGGACAGAGAGTCAAGACCGACAGGGACAGAGGGAGAGAGGGAGAGATAGGAGCCCCTAGGTGCAGGGGTGATCGGAGCCATAGTGCCGTGGAACTACCCCTTTCACAACGTGCTCAACCCCGTACTGTCTGCAGTCTTTGCTGGCAATGCTGCTGTTATCAAGGTGAGACGGAGTGAGGGATAGACAGGGACAGGGACAGAGGGATAGGAAAACAGAGAGACAGAGAGACAGAGGGATAAAAGGGGCGCCATAGTGCCGTGGAACTACCCCTTTCACAACGTGCTCAACCCCGTGTCTGCCGTGTTTGCGGGCAACGCCGCTGTGATCAAGGTGAGAGAAAGAGAGAGACAGAGAGACAAGGGATACAGGGGCGCAGAGAGACAAGGCATACAGGGGTACAGGGGTGATCGGAGGCATAGTGCCGTGGAACTACCCCTTCCACAACGCGCTCAATCCCCGTGTTGTCTGCCGTGTTTGCTGGCAATGCTGCCGTGATCAAGGTGAGGTGGGGGGAGAGAGGGGGAGTCAAGAAAGACATGGACAGAGGCCGCAAGGTATAGGGGCCGGGGAAACTGCAGGGAAGATAATTTATGGTTTCTTGGTGCACTTTCTCTAACCTTGCAGGTATAAGAGCATGCGAGCTGGGGCGCACACTACTACCTGGATACCATCCGCGCGGCTCCCTCAAGGCCGTTGGGTAGAGCTGAAGGATGGAATATTGCCTCCTTTGTTTAGTCGATGCACCTGCCTCTCTTCCCCCCTCTGCACTGCACACAGGTATCAGAGCATGCGAGCTGGGGCGCGCACTACTATCTGGATATCATCCGCACGGCTCTCAAGGCTGTTGGGGGCCCGCCTGAGTTGGTTCATGTGATCACTGGGTGAGTGAGTGCGTGTGTGCGCGATTGTGTGCGGCATGTCAACGACAGTCGTGGATTCAACTCAGCTCCCTCCCTACAGCCCACTAAGAGAGCCCTCAAGGCTGTTGGGAGCCCGCCTGAGCTGATCCGTGTGTGTTGGTGGGTGGTGGGTATGTGGGGAAGTGTGTGTGTGGCATGTCAGTGGCAGCAGTGTGTGTGTGTGGCATGTCAGTGGCAGCAGTGTGTGTGTGTGGCATGTCAGTGGCAGCAGTGTGTGTGTGTGGCATGTCAGTGGCAGCAGTGACTGTTGCAGTCAGGGGTGGGTGGATTAGCTTGCCCACGGTGACTTTTGAGTCGACTCAAAAGTCACCTCATTAGCTTGCCCGCCTCATTAGCTTGCCCACGCTCCACCTGCTCCGCTCCTCACAGGCCTCCTCTTTGCGGCATACACCCGTGCTCGTGCCTGGCCTCAAACCAGCGGCTGTCTCTTCATGCAACTGGCACTATCCCCGTCGCTCTGTGAAATGAGCGAATTTTTGAGACGTCTAATAAAATTCTTCATGCAACTGGCACTCATTTGGCACTCATTTCACTCGCCTGGCCTCAAACCAGCGACTGTCTTTTCATGCAACTCGCACTATCCCCGTCGCTCTGTGCTGGCAGGTTTGGCCCCACGGGGTCAGCTCTGGTGCAGTCTGGTGTGGATCGGTTGATCTTTGTTGGGTCAACTGCTGTGGGCAGGAAGGTGAGTAGGAGGGTACAATACAAAGGTGAGAGTGCAAGGATGCTGCTAATCCCTCCTTTTTTGAAGGCACGAGTAGCTGTCAAGAGTGCTTCCCTGCCTCTCTCAAAAGGCACAACCTTGGCACACTCGTTCACAAAAGGTTGTGCAACCCTCTGCTTCTCTCCTGTCCTCTGTCTCTGCTTCTCCGCAGGTTCTCGAGGCCTCTGCACTGAACCTCACCCCCACAGTGCTGGAGCTGGGAGGCAAGGACGCGTTTATAGTGTGTGATGATGCAGACCTGAAGCAGGTACGGGCAGTGGGCGGGGCTGACCCCCAGCAGGTAGGGCAATTGCAGTTGAGGTACGCTCTATTCAAGATCTGACCTCACGCCCACAGTGCTGGAGCTGGGAGGCAAGGACGCGTTTATAGTGTGTGATGATGCCGACCTGAACCAGGTAGGGGTAGGTGGGGCACACTGTACAACCTGACTTCTCTCTCACGCCCACAGTGCTTGAGCTGGGAGGCAAGGACGCGTTTATAGTGTGTGATGATGCAGACCTGAAGCATGTTGAGGTGCATAGTGGAGCAGCATGGCTGCAGCAGGTAGGGCAGGCAGGGCTGTTGAGGTGGGGCACACCCTATTCACAGCCTGAATTCAGGCTGCCACCAGAATTCTGGTGGTGCCAGAGTTGGGAGGCAAGGACGCGATTATAGTGTGTGATGATGCGGACCTAAAGCAGGTAGGGCGAATTTCAGTTCCGACAACAACTTATGCGGGTCTCAGCCGACAGGCAGCACTGGAAGCTGTTTTTAGGTGTAGAGCGCAGAGCTGCATTGAAGCGTGAAAGTTCACCCTGATTGCTGTCCCTGCCTGCCCTGCCTCCTTGTTTCTCTCCCTCCTCTCTCTCTTTCTCTCCCTGCGTCTCCCTTCCAGGTCGTCCCCATCGCCCTGAGAGTGGTCTTTCAGTGCAGCGGGCAGAACTGCTTTGGGGCGGAGCGGTTCTCATTACTGCATGCCTTATGAGTGATCACTTCCTGTTCCCTCACTCCCAAAAAATTCTTTGTGGTCGCAGGTGGTCCCCATCGCTCTGAGGGCTGTGTTTCAGTGCAGCGGGCAGAACTGCATGCCTAGTGAATAATCACTTTCCGTTCCCCTTTCCCACTCTCCATATCCCCTTTGGTCTTTGTCCTCCCAGGTCGTCCCCATCGCCCTGAGGGCTGTGTTCCAGTGCAGTGGGCAGAACTGCATTGGGGCGGAGCGGCTCTCCTGGATTGCATGCGTAATGAATAATCACTGCCCATTCCCCATTTTGACTCCCAAAACCCCCTTCAACTCTGTCATCTCAGGTTGTCCCCATAGCCCTGAGGGCTGTGTTTCAGTGCAGCGGGCAGAACTGCATCGGGGCAGAGCGGTTCTTTGTGCAGGCCGGCATCTACGACCAGTTTGTGGGGGAGGTGGTATCTGTGGCGCAGCAGATGCGACTGGTAGGTGGTGGTGCCTTGACAGTAACCGTTTGTTGTGGGGGGAAGGTGGTATCTGTGGCGCAGCAGATAAGACTAGGTGGGGAAGGTAGTATCTGTCGCACAAAACAGATGAAAATGGTAGGTGGTATTTGACTTCTCATAGGGGGAGGAATCTGGGGGCGTATAAGGAAAAGAGCCTGTCTCAAATCGATGTCCAAAGGTTAATGAACGCTTGACAAGATACAACATACGCTTTACAAGAAAAGCGCCTGTAATAAGGGCCTTTGGTGGCGTTACTTGAAGAATGTCCTTTTGATTCGACTCATGTCGTCAACTGTTCCTTAACAATCCTCTGCTCTATCACTCCTCCATTTCTCTCCCATCGCCTCCCATACTGCAGGGATACCCTTTGGCAGATGAATTGGAGCAAAAACAACAAGGTGAGATGAACGGAAGGGAAAAGGCAGCTGTTCCTGCTTCTCAGCATGAAGGGATAGGAGGTGGAGAAGTGGGAAAAGTGACAAGAGGTGGGAAGGAAGGGGGAACAGCTAATGAAAAGGGAGAGGGAGAAGGAAGCAGCGGTGGTGGTGGAGGAGGAGGGAGGGCGCAAGGAGGGGGGAAATCGGGGGGGATAAGGGGAGAGGGCAAATCCACGTCAGCAGGGAGGGTTGCTGACATGGGCGCGATCTGCATGCCACATCACGTGCAGCGGCTTCAGCGATTGGTGGATGAGGCGGTGGGGCAGGGGGCACGGGTGGTGGTGGGGGGGAAGATACCGCTGGGAAGCTGTGAGGACTTCAGCTGTAGCCCTAGAGGCAGTGAGGCTGGAGGCGAGAATTTGGGAGAAGCAGCAACAGTAGCAGCAGCAGTAGCAGCAGCAGGAACAGCAGCAGGAACAGCAGCAGGAGCAGCAGCAGCAGCGGGAACGGTAGCAGCAGTAGCGGCGGCAGCAACAGCTTCTGACGGAGCCCTCCCCTTCGGCTCTTCCTCCTCCGGCCGCCCGTCGCTAGGGGGCCAGTTCTACCCGCCCACCGTACTCGTTAATGTGCAACCCACTATGCGCATACTGCACGAGGAAGTGTTCGGCCCTCTGATGTGTATCGTGAAATTTGAAAATGACGAAGAGGTGGTGGCGGCGGCAAATGACTGTCCGTTTGGTCTCGGGTGTTCAGTGTTTTCGGGGGATAGGAGGCGTGCTACTGCTATTGGGGCAGCAGTGCAGTGTGGGATGGTGGCGATTAACGACTTTGGCTGCACCTACATGTGCCAGGTAACGGTTTTGTCATTTTTTCAAGTTGTTCAAAACAGGTGTCCATCTGTCATGCGATTCTCGTACGTATCTGCCTGCTATCATCTTTCAATAGGGTACCACATCACACTTCCACTCTCTCTCCTTCCTCTCTCGATTCATTTCACTCTCATGTATGACCCATCACCATTCTCTCCCTCTCCTGTCCATTTCCCCATTGAACCCCCATCTCTCTCTCTCCTAACTGATCAGTCACTGCCATTTGGCGGAGTGAAGGAGAGTGGTTTCGGCCGGTTTGCAGGGGTGGAGGGGCTGAGAGGGTGCTGTAACGAGAAGGCTATTGTGGAGGACAGATTTTACTCTCTCATCAAGACCAACATCCCTCCGCCTCTGCAGGTATGTGCTTTCCTTGCTCTCTAGCCTTTCGAGTCTCCATGAGTTAGAGTGTTCCAGGCTTCCCCATTTGTGGAGGACAGGTTCTACACCCTCATCAAGACCAACATTCCTCCTCCTCTTCAGGTACATTCAATTCAATGCATGTTATATAGCGTTTGAGCCACTGTTAGTTGGGTGCCCCAGGCTAGGCTATTGTGGAGGACAGATTCTACTCTCTCATCAAGACCAACATTCCTCCTCTTCTCAAGGTATGCTATGCTCTATGCTTGTTATACAACTTCTGAGTTGGGTGCTTTAGGCTACTCTATTGTGGAAAACAGATTCTACTCGCTCATCAGAACCAACATTCCTCCGCCTCTCAGGTATGTGCTGCGATGCTCTAGGGATACTGCAATTTGAGAGTGTTGTTCATCCTCTGTATCCTCTAGAGCCATTGTGAGTTGGGTGCCCCAGGCTAGGCAATTGTGGAGGACAGGTTCTACCCTCATCCAGACCAACATCCCTCCTCCTCTCCAGGTATGTGCTTTCCTTGCTCTCTAGCCTTCCGAGTCTCCATGTGTTGAGTGCTCCAGGCTAGGCTATTGTGAAGGACCTGTCCTTCACGCTCATCAAGAGCAACATTCCTCTGCCGCTCCAGGTATGTGTTTTGAGGCGCCTCAAAAGGTGCCGTGCCGTGCCTGAGCTGGGCTTTCCAAGTCTGTGCTGTGCCTGCCGCTCCAGGTATGTGCTTTGAGGTGCCGTGCCTGAGCTCGGCTTTCCAAGTCTGCCCTGGTCCGCATGTTCGTCGCCCACACCCTGCTGGTCGAGCTATCTTCCTCATCCGCCCTTCTGCCTTGTTTCTCTCCGTCCTCAAACCCCCCCCACAAACCTCCTCTCGCTCTCCCTCCCGACACACACGTGCACAGTACCCCCTGGCCCCCAATGCAGTGCCATTCCAGCAAGCCCTAGTCCGCATGTTCTTCGCCCACACCCTGCTGGCCCACCTCTCATCCTAATCAGCCCTTTGCCTTGTCCCTCTCCCTGCTCAAACCTCCCACCTCCTCCTGCGCCTGCACAGTACCCCCTGGCCCCCAATGCAGTGCCATTCCAACAGGCTCTCGTCCGCATGTTCTTCGCCCACACCTTCCTAGCCCAGCTCTCTGGCCTCTTCCACCTGCTGCTGGAGCTCATGCGCTCTCCCAAGAGGAGAAGCACACAGCAAGGCTCAAGCTCGACCACCCGTGGTGCTGGTGCAGCTTCTGCAGCACGACGCAATTCAGGTGTAGCTGCATCAGGTGGTGAGAGGCTGCATATTGAGTAGAAAATGCTGTTTCTTGGGACAAGGTACGCTGTTACACTCTAGTGTGTTGCTCAAGCTGCTGTCAGCATCCTGTGAAGGGTTGTCTAGTGTCTAGGGTTGAGAATGTATGGTAACAACAAGTTTAGTCTCAGGGCCCTTATTTTTGACATGTGTGACAGCCTTTCTATAGTCAATCTAGACGTTTTACCACATCAGCTGCAGTTCACTGTACCCATGTTGCTGACGCAAGAACCGGTACCAGCCATTGCCCAGGCTGTCGGAGGTTGGGTTGGGTGCAACCCTGTCAGATAGCGTAGGCACTTATTGTTCTCTGGAAGTTGGACTGGCTGTCAAGCTTGTTGACTGACTAATTTTTAATACAGTAAGTATATTCTACAGTACACCATGCCTCTTTACTTCTTCTGAAGGGAGGCAAGCAGCTGGCCAGCACCGAAAGCAGCAGCTCCGCCAAACGCACACAACAGCGAAACCACAACCTGAGCGACAATCAACCCAGTGCTGTCATCAGGCACGAAGTACACGAAGGCAGGACCAGCGAGAAGCAGGAGGAAGGCGAGGGCTTGAAGAGTGCCAGGCGTGGACCGGTCAGTGGCAGCAGAAAGGATTCCGAACTCCTCAGCCTTGGAGAGAAGGCCGAGCTCTTCGATGGCTGTCAATGAGAGGCCGAAGGACTCTGCGAGTGAGAGAAGTCCTGCTTGCTCGGCCTTGGAGAGCAACCGGAGATCCTCCACGCGTGAAAGGAGGCGGATTTCTGGGTCCGAGCCTACGACCTTGCCGCGAACGCCGCCGGTCTTGTCCTCGCCGAAGAGCTCAACGACCTTGACCTGCAGGGATGAGAGGAGGGTTAACATGGAAGGTAGAATTGAGAGGTGCTCACAGCTTTGGGTGAGACTATTGTGGTACGTTTGTTATTATCTTGACATTGCCTTTTCACTAGGATGGAGCGACGCGGGAGGAGCCGTTAGTTCCCGAATGTGGTGAACGTCATTCGTTCACTCGACTACAATAGCGACTCGATGAAAAAATATCGTGCAACGTCTACAAGGGAGAGATGTTATGTCTATACATCAGACACGTTAGTCAGCTGTATCCTTTGGATTGAAATAAATGGCGCGACCTTTCAATTGTAAAAGGTTAATCAGCACATTGTGAACAGAGGACCAACGAGGAGAATATGGTGTATCAGTAAAGCAGGGTGATGCGGCAAGATAAACACTGGAAGGGTCAGGGAAAAACAGAACTACGATAACAATCAAGGAAGACGTATGGACTGTTTAGGATGCACACGAAATTCAGAAAATGCATGGATAAGACATGGATGAGTTCGTTTTTTATAGGATCATCCAGTACAAAAGGCAACCGATGGAGAGGAAAAAGGACGAATTGAACGAGTCGTACATTTCTCAAAATCTTGGTCCCAGCGCGGACGGTAAGGTTTCTCCTAGCCGGAGCTGCCTCGAGCTTCGGAAGGCCCACAGCGACAGGGGCTGCGAGGAAAGAGCTGCGGAGGACGGCAGAGGCCATTGTGAGCTTGTTCTGAATAATCTCTGAAAACACTAAGAGATTATCAGAGGTTAGTCAGAACAATACTCCAAGGGTGACTGTCAAGAGTCAAAAGTGATTACTCCTTGGACAATTCCAGGAAATGATAGGAATGGCTATTTTGCTCAGCAGTGCCATCGAAGTTGGGGGCGGCTACCTAACCTCTCTCGACGCAAAGCGGAAGAGGTTGGTGCTGTTTGAGGTCTGGCTATCTAGGTTCGGTTAGAGCTTAACCTACATTTCCTTGCTTCATCCATACCTTTTGAGGCTCGAAACGGCTGACGAGGCCAGCATGTAGGCTCGATACTAGCTCTGGAAATTCGCCATGTTCGGTTGGGGGGAAATTGGTGGGAGGCATTCCACGAGCGAGGCAGGGGCAGAGCCTCATGGTCAGGAAATGTCGACGTGGCAAATCCGAACTGGGCATTGCGTGGCTGCCGCTAGTTCTGGATTGCTGGGCATCTGTTGGAGTGGCACAGAAAGTCACAGCGCGCCTGGGATCAGGTCCTCCGTTACAATTGGTGTTTCCAGGATGCCAATGTGAACCACCTTTCATCGCGTGACAAGTGTGGGAGGTGCTTGTACTTTTTAGGAGGTACTCCCTTACTGATTTTAGGTGCCAAGCGAAGGTTGATACCAGGATAATATAGTTGTCAAGTTGGTGTCCAACAACAAGACCGCAACATCACGTGCTGCCACTGTTTCTTTTGTCTTGACGTCGAAAATCTTCCATGCATTGTAGTGTTTTTCGATGCCCAGGTGTAGTCCCCACTGTGCGCGTTGAGAGAATCGTCCTGCTCGTGCAGATGGAGGTCGGTACTGTACCATGCAGCCGAAGACTCGTTACATTTTTGTGCTGCCCAATTTTCCTGTCCACAGCAGATGCGGTGATGTGTTGTTCGGGAGTGACGACGAAGAAAGCAAGTTGTGCAGCATCACGGCGTGGTCCATTGCTTCGGGCCACTGGTGGTTGGGTAGCCGCATGCCACGTAACAGTTTCCGCATGGTATTCTGTAGGGTCCTGTTCATCCTTTCTGCTACACCCTGCTGTTGATGGGCGTAGGGAAGGGAAATGAGTCGCTTGATTCCTCTCTCTGCCAGATACTGCTTGAACCTTTGTGAGGTGTATTCTCCTCCCCCGTCTGACTGGAAGCTTTTTAGTTTGACGCCCGATTCCCTTTCTGCTACGGGGAGCCAGGCGACGAACGCTTCGAACGCCATATCCTTGCTTGGAAGATTCAGGTGCCAAACGTAACGTGTCGCGGCGTCGATGAACGTGATGGTGTAATTGTACGCGTTCTGCCCCGGTTCGCGATTGTACAGGATGTCGCTGTACACTTTCTCGAGTGGCGCGTAAGCTGGTGCGCTTGGGTTATGGTGAGACGCGAACGGTTGATGCGGTAAGTCAGCTTCAGGGCAGGTGAAACACGTTCCACGTACTCGTTGAAGTTCTCTTCCATCGGTCAGTAGTAGTGAGTCCTTGTCGAGTACTCCTGCTCTTATCGTATTATTTAATACTGTGTTGCTTGGGTGTCCCATCCTTGCGTGCCAGGTGCTTTCGTCGGCGCGATGTCCGGGTGATCGTCGGTACAGGTCGGAGTTGGAGTAGAAGCTGGCGGTGAAGTTGGCGCTTCGATGAACTTCTCGTGGTGCTGGGTGTAGTTGTTGCGCGGGTGTCGGTGGTGTGTCGTCGACGAGGAGCGGTGCCGTTGAAGGGCCAGCGATTGGTGTTGACGTTCCTGCTGCTGCCGTTGACGGTTCTGCTACTGCCGATGTTGTCTCTGCTGCCGCCGACGTTGTCTCTGCTGCTCCCGATGTTGTCTCTGCTGCTGCTGATGTTGTCTCTGCTGCTGCTGATATTGTCTCTGCTGCTGCTGATGTTGTCTCTGCTGCTGCTGATGTTGTCTCTGCTGCTGCTGATGTTGTCTGAATTGTTGCTAACGCCCTTGTTCTTTCTGCCTCAGGAATGGTGTGTGAATATCAGAAGCCTTCTGGACTGAAGTTTGGATCAAGATCTGGAGGGTGGGTCCAGGAGGTGAAGGTGATGATGCCGTCGCTGTCTGCTGTGCCGAGATCTGGGACAAAATCAAGAACGAAGACGTTGTTTTTTAGGATCGCCTTTCCGATGTAGAGGCCGTCCTTCCCGTGGTACAGCTTGAACTCCTGGGTGGTGCTGTCTGCCTCAAGGTGAATGCCCTTCGCCATCAACTGACTGACGCTCAGTAAGTTGTAGCCGAGGCCTTCTGCGATCAAAACCTTAGACATTTGTAGAACGACATTTGTCTCTCGTGATTGAAGTTGTACCACGCCCTGTCGTCGTGTGCGCAGGTTTTGATTATTGGCGACGGTGATGACTACTTCGTGTTGAAGTTGATACTCTCGCTGCACGAAGCGTCCTGAGGAGCACATGTGTTGTCCGCAGCAACTGTCCAAGAACCACGTGTCCTTCCCGGATGGCTCGCTCTGGGCGATGGCTGCGTACGTTGGATTCGGTTGAAGTGACTCGCGGCGAGGTGTGGTGTTGTCGAGTTGTTCTTCCGGTGAGTAGTGTGGCGGTGACTCGGTGATGCAGGAATCGGTCAATTTTGCCATGCAACTGACGATGTTCCTTGCTCCTTGTCCAGGTTGTCCCGTCGGTGTCGTTTGAGCTTGAGCGGTGGGGTTCGCTTGTATTGAAGTGACTTGGCTGCTTGAAGGTCGAAGCTGTCGCTGTGAAGGCGTTGACTGTTGTCGATTCAGGCAGTGCGTGCGCGGGTGCCCTGACGTCTTGCAGATGTGGCAGAACGGAGGTACGGGTTTCGGTTGTTGTTGTTTGTTGTTGTTGTTGTAGCGTCGCTGAGTATGGAATGCGAATTCCGGTGTTGATGTCTTCTTCTTGTGTCGTTCTTCTTGCAGGTCCATGTCTTGCTGCTCGGCGTGGATTTCGGCGCAGAGCGCTGCTTCGGAGATTCTTCCGTGGGCTCGGAGAATGGCCTTTGTTGCGCGACATTGAGGACCGAGGCCGCCAATGATAACTGTCACGAAGGCGTCTTCAGAAATCGACCCTCCGCATCGAAGAAGCTTGTCGCGCAACTCGCGACATCGGCTGATATACGCCATTCCTTTCTCGCCTGCTTTCATTTCGACCGTTGTCAATTGCGCCATTAACCGACTTTGATTTACGCTGTCTGTTGCTTGATACAGGCTCTTCAAGTGGTTGTATGCGAGCTCCGCAGAGTTGCCGTAACCCCGGTAAGACCGTATATTCTGCTGTTGGGACGGGGTGATGTTTCTCAGTAGAATCGTGTACGCCATCATCGACTGATAGGTGTACTGCTGCTTCTCATACTGTGTGCCGTTCGTTGGGTATGGCAGGGACCCGTCGAAGAAGCCAAGTATCTGCGCGCCTTCCATCATTATCTCGAATTCAAACGACCAGGTGAAGAAATCCTTTCCATCGAAAGGTCTTGACGTCTGCATCTTTAGAACGTGCGCGAACTGCGACTGAACTTGTAATGCGTCCAGTGGCTTTTCTTGTCCAGGTGAAGGCTGCGGGTGTGGCATAAAACTGATGGACCCGCGCTCGTACGGAGCAAAGGTAGGCTGCTGTTGATTTCCTCGTGCGTATGATGAGCCGTCGAGACTCATGGGAGTTGCTCCGTTGTTGTTGTTGTTGCTGTTGTTCGACTGCGCAGGTGCCGACTGTTGGTGTTGCTCGTAGAAGGACATGAAGGAGAAAAACTTCTCCATCATGCTCTGATCGAAGCCTGCAGGTTGATTTGCAGGAGTCTCGGTAGAGGTTGCTCTTGGTCTTGTTGCCGTGCCCTCCTCTGTCTGCAGGCCAGAGGCAGGAGGTGGAGTAGGAGTAGTGCCTTGGGAGCCGTTGGAGGAGCTCCTTTCCTTTTGTGTAGCCATGCTTGTTGATGCTGTCGGTATTTTAATAGAAGTCGAATTCTCCCTGACTGCTCTCATACCATGTTGGGCAGTCAGCTGCTAAAGAAGGACATGAAGGAGAAAAACTGTCAAGAGAGGGCGATTAATTCCTGCTTGCTCGACTGCCAAGAGATAGGTCCGATAGGTTCGAGGCGGTAGATGTAGCCAGTGCGAGAACGCCTGTGTCGGAATCGCCAGCGTGATCGGCGTCGACGTAGCCGATTAACTTAGGCGGCGTAGTTGCGTTCTTGTAATAAGTTAGACCAATCGTCGGGGTGCTAATGAGGTAATGAAGAGCGCGGTCGAGTTCTGCTAGATGTTCCGCTTCGGGCCTCTTGAGGTAGGTGGCGAGTTGACTTGCAGAGTACGATAGATCTGGGCGGCAGGTGACAGCTGCGAAGAGAAGGCAGCCCAGCTTTCTCTGGTAGTCGCGTATGCCGTCGGGCTTGAGCAGAGCGGAGCCTTCTTTGTTGTTTCCTGTCGTGTAGCGGTACGGTGTGGAGATAGCAGTTGGTGTGAGTGTGAAGCGCTTGGCGATGGTGTCGGCGTATTTCGCGGCGCTGAGGTAGATGGCGTCTTCCTCTTCCCGGATGTTGAGCCCGAGGTACTGTGTAACGGTAGATGAGACTGTCAGTGTGAGGTCCTGCTGCAGCTCCCCTTCGAACCAGGTGGTGACGCTGTCGGTTGAGCTGATGTAGAGGAGATCGTCTACGTAGACGATTAGTAGGATGTAATCTGCGCCTTTCGTGAGTCGATACATCCCCTGATCGTGTGGTAGTTGCTTGAAGCCGATGCGAATGAGACGAGCGTGCAGGTACTGCTGCCATAGTCGCGGGGCTTGCTTGATCCCGTAGAGCGACTTTAGCAGCTGACAGACTTGGTTGGGCTCCCCGTTGGTACCGTGCGGTAGTTCCACGAAAATTTCTGCGTCAACGGGTGCGTAGAGAAATGCGTCCGCGACATCGATTTGCCGTAGCTTCTTTTTCTTCATGGCGGCGATCGCGAGAATGATTCGGAGCGAAGTGTGTCGGCTGACCGGAGCGAAAGTTTCGGTGAAGTCTCGCCCGTGT